TTCACTTCACCTCCACAGGTGCTGTGTGACAATGTGATGGAACACGTGACTTTCGAATTCAAGCTTTTAGAGACTAACTGATCACCAGAAATATACACATACGTACTTACTCATTCATACTGCCGGCCTACACACCATTCCCTTACATCAGGCACCCCGCTACGGGTGGCTGGCTCACAGTGGTTGAGATTAAGCAGTGCTGGTACTTCACGTGGTGTTTTACGTACAATTGGCGCGCACTCGACCCCCCCCCCCCTCACTCACAACACGGCTCGGTTCGCACCTTCGACCCACCGGTGAAGTGAGGCGTTCGTACAAATTCCTTCATTTGTAATTAACGGTCCAATACTGGTCGAGGTTTTTTATTTTGATTTTGCATATGTGAAAAAATATTTCGGATTTTTCTTTATCTCTTGTATAACTTTCTGTTCTAATTCCATTTCCTCAGACTCATATGATCGCTTCAACGTTTGTTCTATTTCTTCGATCTCCCTGCTTAGGTTTATTTTCCTTGCTTGTCTGCCGAAGCATTTCCGTTATTTTTTCCTTCTGTACATTCGTCTGTGTTCTTTTTCTTGAGTGGTCCTCTTTCTGCCCCTCCTCACAGGCACGTGTTTCAAGCAGACCTTGTAAGCTTCAGCTGTCAGTTGAGCTATTCCCTGTGTGGGAGTTTTGTCGCTTAAGACCGTCTTCCATTGAATGGTTTGCAAGGTCTACATTTATATTTTCCCAGTCGATCCTCTTATTGTTTAAATTGAATTCATTGAATATTCCTTCTCGCTTGTTGGGTCTCTTAGACCTACTACCGTTATTTATGCTAGTTCGCACTTCAATGAGCTTATGGTCTGAGTATGTAGTATCTGAGATTGTAATGTCTCTGATTAGTTCATCATTGTTCGTGAATAACAAGTCTAGTGTGTTTTCGTTCCTAGATGGTTAGTAATAGGAGGCCATTTATGAACTTTACTTTATTTCTTGACTTTGGCTTTAAACCTTGAATGTTTGCAAACATGAATGATTGCCCATATTGTGTGTCACTTCTGGAAGGTTTTGTTAGTTCTCCCTCCTCTCTACCCTGACCCAGGGTGTGTTGTTGTGGCAATGGTTTGTCCAGTTTTGGAAGTGATACTGGGGAGTGTGGTAGTCTCTGTGTAGTTGGGGGGTGTAGTATGTGTGGGCTTGATGACGAACCGTAGTCCAGTCTTAGGCATTTCCCCCTCTCCATCCGTACTCCTGCCACGTTTCTGCCTGTCTGTTTCTCCCTCTGTTTCTGCCTGCCTCTAAAAAATTTTCAGGGCTATTATATTGGACTTCTTCTCTTATATAGGGCTGTGTACCTCTGACGAGGAAATCAGGGCAATGAAGATCGTAGCTTTTCCTCTAATTAACTGAGAGTTTGCATAGCTTAGGGTGAAAATATCTACACCCTGTATCAAAACGACATCTGCCTTTCCCTAACCAGTTTCGGCATTTCCTTGGGTGGATGAATGTGCATTCCGTGCCTCTGGGCCCATATCTGCATCGTCCTTTTGCATAATACCTGAAAATATTTTCATTTGTGATTGTGTTCTTCTTGTTTCTACCCGTGCACGACTTGGCTACTTTTGTGTTTTTTTGTTCCAACTTTCTCGTTTCTGCATTCATTCTCGGTATTGCCCTTATATTTCTCCTTCTTGCTTTCGTCTTTCTCATTTGTGTTCTCATTTGTCTCATTTTTTGTCTCTTTATTCATATCACCAGTTTGCTCTACAATATTGCTTTCATTTTTGTGTACCTCGATACCATGTCCTTCTACATTGCTACTTTGACTCTCTAAATTCTCAGTCCCAGGGTTGTGCTCACACCACCTGGATTGTGCTCACACCACCATCATCCCTACTTACCCACCGACCACATACCACCATCACCCCTACTGACCCACTAGCCACACACCACCATTACTCCCTACTGACCCACCAACAACACACCACAATCAACAACTACTGACCCACCAACCACACTCCACCATTACCCATTACTGACCCATCAACCACACACGACCATCACCCATTACTGACCCACCAACCACACACCACCATCACCCATTTCTGACCCACCAACCACACACCACCATCTCCCATTACTGATCCACCAACCACACACCACCATCACCACTACTGGCCCACTAGTAGTGGTGGGCCAGTGGTGGGCCCACCAACCATACACCACCATCATCCACTACTGACGTACCAACCACACACCACCATCACCCAGTACTTACCCACCAACCACACACCACCCACTACTGACCCACTAACCACACACCACCATCACCCAATACTGACCCACTAACCACACACCACCATCACCCAATACTGACCCACCAACCACACACCACCATCACCCAATACTGACCCACCAACCACACACCACCATCACCCATTTCTGACCCACCAACCACACACCACCATCACCCACTACTGACCGACTAACCACACACCACCATCACTCACTACTGACCCACCAACCACACACCACCATCACCCACTACTGACCCACCAACCACACACTACCATCACCCATTACTGACCCACCAACCACACACCACCATCACCCACTACTGACCCACCAACCACACACCACCATCACCCACTACTGACCCACCAACCACACACCACCATCACCCAATACTGACCCACCAACCACACACCACCATCACCCACTACTGACCCACCAACCACACACTACCATCACCCAATACTGACCCACCAACCACACACCACCATCACCCACTACTGACCCACCAACCACACACTACCATCACCCAATACTGACCCACCAACCACACACCACCATCACCCAATACTGACTCACCAACCACACACCACCATCACCCATTACTGACCCACCAACCACACACTACCATCACCCAATACTGACCCACCAACCACACACCACCATCACCCACTACTGACCCACCAACCACACACCACCATCACCCACTACTGACCCACCAACCACACACCACCATCACCCACTACTTGTGGGGTAAACTGACTTGTGAGATCTATATATTGCAAGTTATTCAGAAGAGGAGTCACAATAACATTTCGTAACTTTTGCCTTGCAATATTTTCCTCTTAGATTTTCTTCTCCTCACCTCTCTCTTGCCTATTTATCGCCTCGCCTCCTTCTCGTATCACAATCGACTAGAGAATAGTCCGGGACGGACCAGAACGTCGTCGTCCTCTCACTTTCTACTGTGGTTTGGTCAACATATTGCAAGTTTTGTTATTGAATTCTAATTTATATTAATTTATATAGTAATTTATTTAGAGATTTATTTTTACGTTAATTTATCTATTTTGATAGCGGACTGTATGATATTTAAATTCCCATAAATCGATTTCAACACATTGTTGGGGGGGGGGGGTATTATATTATTTATATAATCTACCAATCAAAATTATTGTTTAGCAGATATTCACTACAGTATAAGTCTACATATGTTAGTAACTAAAAATAAATACAACTTATCTGTATGGATGATTAACTTAGACAATCAGGTAGGAAAACGTATTAACAACGTCAGTCAATACTCCTCTTGTGGGTTCAGGATGACTTTACCACATGTACTAGATGCTACGTAATAATTATTTCTTCTTCCACTTCAATTTCGCCTGTCAAAGGCACAAACACAATAATAGTAGGAACCTAATATGACAGCTATATCATGGGAAATATAAAATTTATTTCATAAAGTTTAAATAATAATTACCCTGTTGGGTGGCTCGTCTCGTGTCCAAACCGGATTATCCTAAATTTAATATTGCTGTCCAGTAATAAGTTGCATAGAATAGGAATAAGAAAATACACTTCCCTTATTGTAGACAATGAATGTGTTGATGATGCGAGCTTTTTGATCCCCATAACACTACGTCCAAGAGCACTTTTGTGTGTAGCTCGAAGTTAGCTCCATGCAAGTCTTTTTCTGTTAAATTTAACGACCAATGGCGACTACTGGCTGGTATACCTCCTATCGACTCATCAAGCGTTTTGTCCAGATGTCGACAAGAAGTGGAGAGAGGGCCTACATTTAATCGGTTTTAGTACTGATAATTAAATTGATTCAAGGGAAATGTATTAATGATGTTTACAGTCCAAAGACTGATGTATTTAGAATAATTCTCAATGTTAGGTGGTGAATTTAACGGCGACATATGGCAATGATATCTCCGTTATCTTTTGAAGAAATATTCACTGTGCCTCATTTTCAGTGAGTTAATTTCTTATTTCAATCCATCAGCAATATTATCTGCCTATTGTATTTAATGTTAGTAAAGGATGTCGGTTTTTCCGACACTACTGATCTACTAACCGCACACAACCATCACCCACTACTGACCCACTCACCACACACCACCATCACCCACTACTGACCCACTCACCGCACCCCACCATCACCCACTACTTACCAACTAACCACACACCACCATCACTATTACTGACGAATTAACCACACACCACCATCACCCACTACTGAGCCACTAACCACACACCACCATCACCCACAACTGACCCATTAACCACACACCACCATCACCACCTACTGACCCACCAACCACGCACCCCCATTACCCGCTTCTGACCCATTAACCACACACCACCATCACCACCTACTGACCCATCAACCACACACCACCATCACCTACTACTGACCCATTAACCACACACCACCATCACCACCTACTGACCCACCAACCACGCACCCACATCACCCACTACTGACCCATTAACCACACACCACCATCACCACCTACTGACCCATCAATCACACACCACCATCACCTACTACTGACCACCAACCACACACCACCATCACCACCTACTGACCCACCAACCACACCACCACCACCTACTGACCCACCAACCACACCACCACCACCTACTGACCCACCAACCACGCACCCACATCACCCACTACTGACCCACTAATCACAGATTTCTCCCTGCATGTTCAGGAACTATGTGAGCGGAGGAGACCCGTTCCTTGAGGCGGGATGTGATGACCTGTGTTACGAGCAGCGACTCTGCGACCTTGTCACCTCTAACAGGAACGACCTGGACAACTGCCTCGCCATCCTCTGGCGGAAGAGAGGTCTCTAAAAGGTCAAAGTGGAATTGTGGAGAAGGTGCTCAAACTGGCTAGTTGGAGGTCAAGATTGAGACGTCGAGTTTCGTTTGTCTTGGTCGAACTTTCAGCAGAAAATGTATGCGAGACCTTCATTCATCACTTGCTTCTATACTCATTCATGAAGACCATTGGACATGAAGTACTCTCCTTTTGTTACACTATTGCAACACGCCTTTCTAACACTCACTGCACACCTACTGTGATACACTCGCTACACTCCTGCTGTGACACACTCAATACACATTGTGACACACCCACTACGCACTGTGACTCACTCACTATATACTTAATCTAACTCTCTCTCTCCCTACTCACTTCGGGAAACTTACTACACAATTAATGTGAGACACTTACTACAGTATGTGAGTGTATCACTACTGTGACACACAGTAGTGACACACTCACTACACACCAACTATGAAAGCTCGATTCTGCATACACAAATAGTAAATACTCTCACTACACTCATGCTCTGATACATTCACTGCACACCTATTGTGATACACTCACTGCATTCCTATTGTGATACACTCACTGCATACTGTGATACACTCATTACACACTGTTACATACTCCTACAGTAAAACACTCACTGCACACCTACTGTGACACTCTCTACATACGTTCTGTAACACACTCACTACACATTTACTATGAAACACTTGCTAAACACCTACTGTGAAACGCTTACTGTGATACACTCACTACACATCTGCTGTGACACACTACACACTCTGATACGTTCATTACACATCTACTGTTACACACTCACTACACTTGTTCTGTAACACTCAATGCACACTTACTGTGACACACTCAATACACACTACACACTATAGTGTAAACACAAACCGAAACTGTCTCTATTTTCCGCTTGTTACAACTTGTAATAAAGTTGTTACATCTTGGCTTAACGTGTTTATGACGTATTAGAACGTTGTTACAACTTGCTATGTTGGTTGTTATAACTGATTAGGAGGGGTTAAAACTTGTTCGAACGTTGTACCAACGTCGTAGTTTCGGTGTGTGTTTGGCGGGTACGACACACTGCACACTGTGACACACTCATTACACACTTGCTGTGACATACTACACACATACTGTGACATACTCACAACATACATTGATACACTCACTACACACTGTAACACTCTCACAACATACAGTGATACACTCACAACACACAGTGATACACTCACTACACACTTACTGTGACACACTGTAACACTCTCACTACACACTGTAACTCACTACACACTGTGACACACTGTACCCTGTGACACACTCACTAAACGCTTACAGTGATACACTCACTACGCACTTACTGCTGCTCACTACAGCAGTCATTCACTCACTGTACACACTGTAGCTATACACTCACTGTACACACTGTAGCTATACACTCACTGTACACACTGTAGCTATACACTCACTGTACACACTGTAGCTATACACTCACTGTACACACTGTAGCTATACACTCACTGTACACACTGTAGCTATACACTCACTGTACACACTGTAGCTATACACTCACTGTACACACTGTAGCTATACACTCACTGTACACACGCCTCTGCGGGTACACACATACACCTATGAACTAGCCAATAAGAGATAAATTGCATGAAAATTATATCAGTTTAAAGGTAAATACCATAAATTATATGGTATTATATAATGGTAAAAAGTATTATATTATAGTAAAACACTATAAATACAAATTTATGGTAAATATCATAAAATTAATTTATGTAATCGTCAAATAAATATATAAAATAAACTATTGTCTAAATGTCACGAATGAAGTGAAGAACGATGAAGATAAATCAGATGGCTGTAATAACACAAATGACGAAAGTCTTCAAACTACAGATAAGTAACATATTATAGTGTAAACATATTATTTTTCTGAAGCAGATCTTGAGCTGCACGAGCCCCAATAGGTGGACGTCTGAGTCCCTCACCTACGGGTTCCAGAGATCGTCACAGCCCCCTTACACCCGAGGTCGGCTTCCTTCATGCCCCAGCAGAAGGATGAGTATTAACTATTCGTTACAACAATTATTATTACAATAAAAATATAATTAATTAATAATTATTACTCTTCCATCTGTTGGGTCATGGAGGAAGCTGTTGCCTTCAACCTCGTTCTGAAAGTCCCTTTGAAGGTGCTGGAACCAATCGTATTGGTATTTGCCTTTCCATTGGAGACTTTTAGCGCCATGAAGAGGAAGGGGAGGACCTGCTTCATAGGTGACAGCTTCTCCTCCATATCAACCTACCCCGGCTTTGCGCCCTAGTGAGGCCACTCCAGACCGACAACAGGAGCGCAACTCCGTAGTCTCCTGAGACTGATGGATGCCTACTACTATTATTCTTCTGCACAAAATTAAAATTGTGAGATTGCCTCATAAACCACCACCCAGAATGCAGGAATAAAACCAAATAATTGATTCATGAATAACCTTGCCCAAATGTAGGATGCAAATTTTTAATTACAGTTTTGAACTCATCGGTTATAACAGAGCTTCCTCAAATATATGAATTACTCTGCATCTACAAGATGGAGCACCCAGGAAATATATTGAGGAATATTGCACCACCAAACTCGCTAAGTAGATTAGGATAAGTCTTTTAGAATCACATGAGAGCTACGTGTAATGGATATCTCCACACATAACCAAATCATCACCAGAGACATCTTAACAAGCAACACTGAAATAATCGACAGGTATAACGACAGCAGGAGACTGGACATCAGCGAGGCACTACATACCAAGAAATCCTAACCAGCAATCAACAACCAGCTAACAAATAATTACATTCATCCCACTTCAGGACCCAGAGCTAATGCAGGGACAGCATCCAATGACACTACCTTAGGAACGTAAGTTGCCCTGTTTATACATTTAACACCCAATTAATGTTATGGCATTCATCCACTTGTTCTTTACCCAAAGAGAATATAATCCGACGTTAAACATGGTAAAGTTGTCTGTGAAAATGTATTTTGCAAAAGGCATCCCTAGGCGTCAGCTTTTAATAAAGTGTGAAAATGAACTTTGGAGAGCTAATTTTTCAACTTCCCTCGACAGTGAAGAAAAACATAATAGATATTCAGAAGATTCGTGATAGAATCATTAATCTTTCCCTTTCGGTCATATTCAACTCCACTTTCGATCATCTCCAAATGAACATTTTCGGCCATCTCCAAGAATATGGAGATAATCGTCAGGAGAGGTGACAAGTCGCCAATATACGTTATTTTTAAAATAGACGAATATCTGGCAAAAATGAACCTCGTCCTCTCTGACCAAACTAAATTCCAAAGGGTCACGAGGGACACTACAGCCGAATTGAAAACGAAGGTAACCAGATTGGTAGAAACTGTGAATGCCAAGAAATCTTCCCTCCACCTGTCAAAGGTTATCGGGAATACAAACCTGGTTATGCATATGGGAATGTCAAGACCTACAAACCCGGAAACCCACCTCGGCCAATCATCAGCCAGATACCCACATACAGACTGGCTAAGCAACTCAACTGCCTGTTGACTCCTTATGTGCCTTGTGCTTTTAGCTTGAAGTTTCCAAATGAATTTGTTGATTTATTGTGTGGGAGAATGGGCCACGGAGATAAGAGCTTCTCTTGATGTGGAGTCGTTTTCTACTAACGTACCTGTGGACGAAACAATCGGGATGACGATGGACAGAGTGAATCGTGATCTGGCTTGACCTCTCTAGATATACCAGAGAGCATACTGAGAAAGTTATTCGAAGATTTCACTGAAGAAGCACCCTTCTTGAGTCCCGATGGGCACATGTATAAACAAGTAGATGGGGGTCGCCACTGGTTCTCCCCTAGGTGTCCTGTTTGCGAATTTTTACATGTGTACCATAGAGCAGAGGGTCTTAGTTGACATGGACTTAAAACCATCCATATACTGAAGATACATTGACAACATATTTATGCTAGGTTCCTAATGTCAGACGATGCAGCAGTTGAAGGAGGCATTCCAGTAAAATTCGGTGTTAATAAGTTTCTCTTACGAGATGGGAAGAATGATGGGAAGCTGCCATTTCTAGATGTAACAGTCACAGAAAGGAATAGAGGCTTTCACACTGCAGTCTACATTAAGGAAACGAACATAGGAATATGCTTTAATGCTAATAGTGACCACCCAGACAGGTACAAGCGGAGTGTTGTCAACGCTTTCGTCGAACAGGCTCTCACTCTCAGCTCTGGTTGGAAGTAGGTCGACGAGGAATTCTGTAGAGTATGGCAGGTCCTAGTCAATAATGCCTTCTCTAAAGATTATGTTGACGATGTCATTAAAAGAAAGGTGACATGCCATGCAACCTCTGAAGAATCATCCAAGACAACACCTGTACCTCCTATTAGATTGTTTTACAGGAACTTCTTTTCCACGGCTCATAAAACGGAGAAAAGACTCCTGAAAGATATTATTGATTGGACCGTTATCCCCACAGACACCAATCAGAAGATGCAATTAACAATTTACTACAAAAATAAGAAGACCGAAAAACTTACTTATAAAAAACTCTCCAGACACCAAACAGAACGCCTTAAAAGAGACCAACATCGTACTCACCTATTTGTGCTTGCGGGGGTTGAGCTCTGGCTCTTTGGCCCCCCCCCTCAACTGTCAGTCAACTGATGTACTGGTTCCTGAGCCTACTGGGCCCTATCTTATCTACACTTGAAACTGTGCGTGGAGTCTGCCTCCACCACTTCACTTCCTAATGCATTCCATTTGTCAACCACTCTGACACTAAAAAAGTTCTTTCTAATATCTCTGTGGCTCATTTGAGCACTCAATTTCCATCTGCGTCCCCTAGTGCATGTGCCCCTTGTGTTAAATAGCCTGTGTGGGAAATTTTACCCACTATATCTATATTATTATCTAAGAAATGTATTATTTTTATATCATATCTAAATCATAACAAAATCCTATCAAAATCATATCAGAATCACTACAGATTCATTATACATCTGGATCATACATGACAATGCCTATGATCACGTAAACTATAGGGCCCTATAGGTGCCTACATGACTTTGTGCATGATTTCTCAAGTATCCAGAAGCTTGTAGAAGGATTTCTTAATTAAAAAACTATTGGAACAATTGAATCGATTTCCGGTAGGGATTAAATCAAATCCTTATTAATAATCAATAGTACTATCAAGTACTACTTATAATCTGTCGGGGTTTCGTCCAGTAAGTAACCGCACTTAGAATCCTGGCCAGGTCGCCAATGTCGGGGATTTGCTTAAACTCAGTAAGTAAGTAAGTAAATAACCCTACTTAATATCCTGTCACTATCAACAATGTCAGGGTTTCTTTACCTCTCACCAGCCACTACCAAGTACTAGTAGTGGTAACTGTTACTTACTGTAGCCCTGCGGGTCTTCACTCCATCCTCGACGTCCCACTGTTCACATGGAGAGTTTCCCAGTCAATCTCCAGCTGGCCTTCTAGCCAAAGACGAGTGAGAACACAATCTACTCTCTCGATCGTGTGCCCGCCCCGACAGAGGGCTCTTCTGCTAACTGAAAGGTCGCCAACTGGTCTTTCCCGTGTCCAGTAACACGTCAGTGGTATCGTGGGATTGTGGAAATAGTGGCAGAATGCACACTGGATAAATCTTGTATCAGGCAGGTATGTATCTCTATCACTCTCACTCTTTCTATGGACTCTGTAGCAACAAGCAATGGAGGGATAATGTAAACGCGAAGGTAGTTTTATATTTTACTTAAAATATTAAAGTATTATCTCTATATCAACAACAAAGCG